CCATGGGTATTCATAATGTCATAATAGTAATTTATGGCACAGGTTTATTTTAATACAAATAGTCACACGAAAGAAATACATAAAACGTAGACAAGCTTGCAAGGTACCTCTGAGAATTATACATACCTACCGACTCCCGCGTGGTTTCATATTTTTAGTATAATTTAAACCTTGTTAGAAACAACGTAAACAATAACGCTATTTGTACCCGTCTATTAACATTAACATTAATAGTGTAGAGGAACAACTTACAAGAGCGTTACAACCTAATAGGGGTTGCACCGATTAGCTCACTCGAATCTAGCAACAAGATAAATATTCTCATTAATTCAAACTAACTTCCCCCAGTTAGATTTGGCAAAGTTTGGGGACCATCCCCGAAGGCTATCCTGTGGTTGTACACTGCCGTGATTAGACCTATGTTCTGTTATGGAGCAATTGACTGGTGGCCAAGAACCAGACTCTCGATGCGATGCGATGCGAACGGCCCCCACAGTCGTCATGGAGTCCCTTCTGGGTCTGCCTCCACTAGATCTCCACGTGAGAGAGCAGGCTATTCTGGCATCCCTGCGTCTGAAAAATAATGGGTTGAATAGCAGAGGCATAGAAATGGGCCACTCCCGAATTCTGAGCGAGCCGATCAAGCAACTGCCTATCCTAGAAGGGAGATCGGACTCACTCACGGAAAAACCATCACATCTTCTTTGATGAGAATACGGCATTCCTACCAGACATATTCAATCTTGAAGGATGGATCTAAGACAATGGAAGGAACAAGCACTGGTATATTTACTCCAAAAAACTGAACTGCCATATCACCCAACCACTAGGCAAACTTCCTACTGAGTTGGTAGGATTAACGCTTAGTGCAAGAACAGTTCTTGTGCACAACATAAAGAACAAAACTATCAGAATCTCAAGTGACAGCAGGATATTATATAGCATCCTTGGCTCACCTCATAAACGGGCGATATTTATTTGACGCAGTTTCGTATTGTCATAACTTGTCACATACGCAAAAGTTGTTGAATACGTGACTAATGGTATAAACAGAAATGCTTGGGCCCATTCATGTTTGAAATACTTTCCAGGAAGTAATAAATAAAACCCGAAATTGATATTTAACTTGTAAAGAAAGCGCTCGAGGTGTCAGTTAAAAACATCCCATTGTAGAGTAACTTACTGAGCAGAAATGTGCAATTTAGTGTGATCCGATGAAGTTAATCGAATAAACACATTAAACGAGAACACTCAATTGTAAAGTTACAATGGTGCCATATTGTTGGCACTGTTAATGAACTTCAATTATCGCCGTCCTTCAAGGTAATATACTTTTTTATTAACTGAATTCCATATGTATATTAATTTTCAAGTAGCTATAGTCCTAATAACGGGCGATCAAAAATGGTTGCTGTCGAGTCGCCTTTGGAAGTTCAAGTTAAATACGATTTACCATGTAAACAAAAGTTCCAAAGGTGACTCGACAGCAACTCATTTTTGATCGCACAGTACGTCATTTAATAAGTCCTGGGAACCTACAGATTGCGTTAGTAATTTCAACTCGACTTTGTTTTTCGAAAGAACCATCAAGTGACATGTTTCCAATTCTCACGTCTGACCATAAACATCAAAGCTACCTGTGGTGAAAGTGAAACTACTTGCGCAAAATCATCTTTTGTCAAGACACTGCACCGTGCCACAAGTCAATGAAAACAATTGCCAAATTGAATGGGTTGGGCTTCGCCACCCACCATGCTCTCCAAATCTAGCCTCCAGCGACTACTGACTGTTTCTCTCAAAAAGATGCTCTAAGGAAAAAGAATTGGCTCGAATGAGGAAGTCTTCGCTGTAATTGACTTATTTTGGGGACAAGGACAAATCGTTTTACAAGCATGGTATCGTTGGAATGATTGTATGGCTCTTGACGATGATTATGTTGATGGATAAAAATGAATTTTGCGAAACAAATTTTTGTTTACTTAGCCCCGGGACTTGTTGAACGATGTGTGTTATATAGACCTGTGTGTGGTCTGATATGAATAAATGTAACGGATGGTGGCCTTGGTTAGAGACGGGCTGAATAAATTAAAGTTAGGTGTTAAGATTTGTGTATGTGCTTTATTATTAATGAAAGTTGGGCTACCCGAAACTATGCGTTCGGCTATCAATTATTTGTAATTGGAAATGGAATTAAGTTTGCTAATTACGCAAGCTGCTAGATCGAGTGGAATTATATGGGTAACTTTCTTATTATTACAGGTAGAGAATTGGTTAATGGACAATGTTTTCCAGTTTCAGATGCTTATTTAAAATTTGCTTGTGAAAGTTCAAAATGTCGAATAGGTTGGACGTAATTAAAAAAAAATTACAATCAGTCATTTCCTTGAACGCCTTATATCCTCGAAAGTATACGTGGTACAAAAAAAGTTTTATAGTCACTGTCTTTGATACGCTTAGTTTGGAATTGATGTCAAAAAAATTCAAGATGGTTGGATACCTTTGAGGAACATTTACCAACTTCATCAAGTTAAATAGGTACCACATTGGATTTTTAGATTACTTAATAGAATTGTTTATTCTCTTTTTAACGAGCTACTATAGTATAACATTCAGAATAAGATACTAGTTATATGAACGGTTTTTATATTTTAATCAAGTAGTCTGTGATGAATTAAAAAAAAACAAAATAAAGCTATTCAAGGCAACAAAACGTTGAATATAATTATCAGATGTTTAAAATACTGGCCATTATTAGTGAAACACTCTTCAAGACACTTTACGCAACATATTGCCATTGATGCTATCACTCTCCTTTAGAACAGTTAGAAAAATAAGCCTCATCTGTCCATAATACTCGAATGGTAAAAGTGTTAGTTTAGATATTCTTACAAATAAATCACCTACAAAATGTGACCTGCGACAATGCATCAATGGTAATACTTGGGGGGGGGGGGATGATTAAAATGCAATAACCGTTGAAAAATTTATTAAGTAATTTAAAAATATGGCGCCTATTTAACTTAAGGAAGTTGGTAAATGTTCCTCAAAAGTAGCCATCTTGAATTTTCTTTTGGCAGCAATTCTAAATTAAGCGTATCAAAGACTGTAACTTTTATATAAACCTTTTTTTTTGTATTTCGTATACCTTCGATGATATAAGACATTCAAGGAAATGACCGAGTTTAGTTTTTTTGAAAGTATGTCCAACATATTCGACATTTTGAACTTTCGCAAGCAAATTTTAAATAAGCATCTAAAACTGCAAAACATTGTCCATTTAACTAATTACCTATGCAATCTCACGAGATCTGGGACACACTGTATACTAATTTAGCTGAAAGGATTAATTAATTCCTCCTCTTATAATAAACTCATTTTGATTTTATCACTTCATAAATGTGCATTGAAGTGTTTCAAAGAAAGTTATGCTGGTCTAGTTTGGTTTTACAATGTTTACTTCTGTTGACAGTAAGGCCAAATACTGCCTTAAATTTTGGTTCTGTAGGAAGCAGACCTAGGCGGAGCTACTCTTATTATAGTCAAGACATTATTCTGTCAGTGGGCTCATTGAGCCTCTAAGGTTCGTTCTGTGAACTGCAGATCATTTCAACCCACAGTATCAGTCCGCCTGTCCGTGACCAATCGGTGCCGAGTACTGCCTTTTATGCGTTCGCATAAATAAATAAATAAAAACAATGGTTTATCAACTGGATTTTCATTTGCTTAATGTTTGTGCACTTTGACTGTTTCAAAACCTAAGAACACCTACACCCACAAAGTCAGTGAGGCTGTAGAATACGTAGAACCTACGTACCAACTTCCTCGGGGTTTTATTTAAAACATTGTATTTTTCTGTTTAACGTACTGTAAGTACATAAATTGATGTCACTTAAAAATCTTTAATACAGACCTTTAACGGTGACGAATATGGTACGGTTTGGCAAATTAAGATAGTACATTCCGTTACTGCAATGTGTCACGCTTCAGTTACATTCACAGTTAATAATTATAGCAAATATAATAATTCTTTGTAAACAATTCATCACAGGTGCATTAGACGACCATGTGGAAAATGTATTAGATGCAATACGTAACAGAAACAGCATTCTTCACTTACAATTTACCACATTTATTGTAAATATATACATATATTAGAATGAATTTATTGCGATAATTTAACTTCCTTCTTTGGAAATTCGAGTTTATTGATACAATTTGCCATGTTTTATGGAATTTAGTGATCGGGAATCAATGTCATTGAAGCCATTAGTTTTAGATTTTGCCCACGCGAAACTCTACGTTTTGCCATAGTGTAAAAGGCATAGATAACTTGTGGCAAAAAATGTAATTAAATTTACGCGATCTTATATAATTTTGCAAATACTCCAAGATACGATAACGGTTTCTATGCTATTTATCATGATCGTGACTATGCGATGACAACAACAATTTGATTTAAATATACACTTTATACGACATCAAATTATATATGGGAAATAGTAAGACGTAACTCAAAGATGATTCTTCATCAGACCATGACTAAAGGGAAACCAATTATACGTACGATCTCTTTTACTCGACCAGTGCACCCGTTAGCTACCGTTTGACGTGTGTTATAGAAAATGAAACTTCTTTTACACAACCTTTGCACCATCCACTAACGCGGACATCAAGATATTCCATACACCATCAAGTTCTCTATTACAGCTCGTAAAGCTATTTACGTAAATTTATAGATTCTGCTTGCGGAGTAGTCGTTGATGTTTATAATTACGATCGTTAAAATTTGATAGTAATTGCGTGCATAAATTTCGCAAATCAGTTTAGTGATTAACCATCAGCGCTTATTATCTATAAACTATAACTCGATGGTATATTCTTCTAATAAAATCAAGCTGTTTATCCTCGCACCCCATTAAAGCGAACATGCTTGAATGCGTTTCGGTTGATTCATTACGTTATAATTATTTTATGAATCGTAAATTATAATTTGTCTCGAGATGTCTTCGATATTGGCTTTTAGTGGGGGCAATAAAGCTCCTCATTACCTGTGTTTTGCTGCTTGTTCGTATCAGTTTGATGGTAAGTTGGCTCAAATTGAACTGATTAAGAGTACTTATCTTATGCTTTATAATTACCTACTACAACCATTACAAGGTTTTGAAATAGATATCATAAAAGACTATAGTGACAAGTGATCTGCTATAGCCATAGTTGGGTGTAACTGCACTTATTGTACGTCTTCCATGGAGTGCAGTTGGATAAATATTGCGTTTCTAACTATACCGTATTTTCTTGCCCATGTTACGCTATTCAATTTTTGTGCTCGTATGGGTTTCGGACTATTCCAGTTTTTAGAATAATAGACTTCGCGCTTATAGTCGATATTGCAAAGAAGGAATCATTTTGCATCTCCTTTTTGCTCGTCTTGTGCAATTGTTTGCTGTATGAGATACATTTTGCACTTGTATGGTTTTTGATTTTTAGGCAGTGTAATGCCCCTTCCCTTTTAAGTCTCATGGTGGAGTGTCAATTCGTAGTGTGTATTACAAAAGAGTTGATAGTATTCTCAGGTTTATCATCGATGTTTTTCTTCTTGTATCGTTGTTCTCTTTGGACTTACTTTCCGTACTTTACTTCCCCGGCTAGCTCAGATAAAAGGGGTTAAGGATAAGAAAGGATTCAATTGATTTTTCTTTCACTGAATATTTCATTAATAATTGAAATTCATAACCTAAATTTGTAAAATTGCTAACTCAAGCATTATTACCAGAATATTTAGAAATTGAAATACTCGTTTGATGTCTCGAAATACTGACCTCTTCTGAATATGATTTCACATATTGAGTTTGGATATAAGATTATGAAGAATCAGACCAACATCCGAAATAAACAATTTCTCTGTGATGCACGATTTTGCTTTATTTCGTCAGATTTCTTTAGAATTTTTCATTTGAATTTATATTGTTGAAATCACTTTCCACGCACTGTATTTATTGCCCTTTATTATGAAATCGTTCAGTGTCACGCTTAAATTTGAACTTTATTGGTCGTACTTTCACGTAATTTTGCCTTTGAGAGTACTTTCCGCCGACAAACCGGTAGATATTCGATCTTAAAGTTTTGATATCACCAATGGTTGTCTTAACAAGGCTTGATAATTAATTAGTCTTGAAACTTAGGACAACCTTTCCGTTTTAACCACCCTTCAGGTTTTTTCACTTGGCTTCGGCCAGTTAATAATTAAAAAAACAACATGTTCGTCTTATTCGTCTTCAACGTTTGTAATTTACCGTTTTCCTGTTAACTTTCACATCGCCTGATGATGGCAGTACGCCGAAACTATAGTCGCTGTTATTTTTAAAAAACTTCAACGAATAAAACTATATGAGGAAGGTTTAGAGATTTTTGATAACATAATATATTTCAACCCCCATTTCGAGGAACGATGGATCCAACTCAAAACGATTCCTTTCGTTGAGACCTTTAATTAGAATACAATGAGACCAATTTATTTCGATGACTTTTGTAGAGCGTGTTTGCCCCCCCCCCTCCCCCCTCCCCAATGTTCAAAAGTTTTACTTGGCACCAGTAAAGGCATACGTTTGAAAATCTGAGAAAAATTGGTTGTCGTATGTAAAACAGCATCTTACGAAATAGTTCATGCCCCCCCTCCCTTCTCCCTCCACCCCTTAAGACAGCGACATTTGATGGTACGCCTTCAAGGTATAAGCTACCTATTGCAAGAAATTCTAGGACTCTGGGCCATTCCCCTAGAAGTAGTTCAAAACGGCAGAAATGGATCCGGACTGACGGACAAAACGCAAATAATAGCACTTTTTTTTAATTCTTAAAAAATGCACTAAACAAATCGGGTTCCCGTTATGCTACAGGGGTTCCTCCTGGACTTGAAAATTACCATCGGTTCCGCCCGGCAAGGCAAACCGTCTTCTTCTCAGGCTGCTCAATCGATAAAAATAAATGCTCCGGCTAACTCAAATCGGTGGGCTTTTAACTCTTTTGAAACTGCGTAACAAACCTTAACCTGCCGCCTACCAGTCTCCTGCCTCAACTCCTACTCCTCCCTTTCCTTCCCCTCGTTCTTCGTTAAAGACATGCACATTGAAACCAAATAGATAATATATTGAAATGAGATTAGCGATACAAACAATTTACAGGGATCTAGCAGTTCTTCTCTTCTACTTGTAAAAACACTAGCTTAACAATGACAACTAAACTAAATAAAAAATCCTAACAGGTGAGACTAATGTACTCAAGGGGTGGCCATCCTCTACAGTTTGAAAATTGCAACAACAGGTAATCGGTTTTTAATCCAGCATGGGCTGGGACTTATTTAAATAAACACAAAAATTTATCCTACTCTTTGGTAATCGTTCATTGGACTTTAATAAACAATCAAATCAACAATTTTTTTACTATAGCTTAATTACCCAAAAGTGGAATTTTACAGAATATTACAAATTTAATTAGACTAACCTTTACAACATTTGTACAGCCGATCTTGTGAACTGCTCTTTCCTCTGGTACAGGGTGGATGTGATGAAACCTGACACTTAGGTCTCTGTGACTTCCTAGGGGGTGGCTTGAATTTAACACACGGAAACAAAAATCCACGGTGTCTATCCTTCCTCGGAACGAAAGCAAAGTTTAGTGTTTGAACGGAAACTTAGTCCCGGAAATCCTTCGCGTGGCCAGTGGGAGACGGCTAGTTGCCAAAGTTTCTACACAGCACAGTGTATTTAAATTTATTTTATTAGTTTATTAGCTTTGACCGCCTGCGGGAGACGGATTTTTTTGAGTTAGCGGTACGGCAGAACACAAACTTTTATGATCACTATCCGACGGTAAACCGCGATGGTTCGACGTATTATTTCACCAGCTCTTCTTGGGGCAAATATCTCTCCGAAACGCAGCGCTCCTTCGACAAATGACCTTACGGCACTAGTAGGAAATTCCACCTGGGGCGGATCCCGAAATTCTGCGCCTTGAGGACTAGGGCAGCACTTGGAATTATATATCCTCGAGAAATCACAACGTATCCTAACGCGATTCACTGCATCCAAAATAAACTGGGGTGAAGCTCAAGGGTTCGCCAAAATATCACCTGATTGAAACTTGGGTCTTCTTCGCCAAAAAATCAACGCGCAAAGAAAATAACACTTCGAAACGGGTGCAAAAAGCACGCAACTGGGAGCAACCGAAATAAGCCGGTGGCTCAAACCGCCAAGTGTACCAAAACGATCGCTCAAGGTACGTGTTGACCGCTTGACGTACTAACCGCGAGTCTCTTAAAAGCGCAATCACTCAAAGTACGTGTTGACCCCTCGACGTACTAGACGCGAGTCCCCTTCAAAAAAAAAACGATCACTCAAAGTACGTGTCGACCCCTCGACGTACTAGACGCGAGTCCCCTTCAAAAAAAAAACGATCACTCAAAGTACGTGTCGACCCCTCGACGTACTAGACGCGAGTCTTCTTCAAAAACGATCCCCTTCTTCAGAATTGAAATGAAAAAACCACACCCAAATTACCATAAAACAAAAATGGCTCCCGCTAGAACTTCTCCCATTGGTTCAGATAAAGAAAACTTAACCCACTCTAACTTCGTCGTCAACCTCAAAGAACTGCTGACCAAAACTGATCTCACGGTTTTCTGCTGATGACGTTAAAAGGCCCCTTATCTCTGATAGCTCGGTGCTACATCCGCTCCTATTCTCGGTCCAGACGGCGCCAAAGTTGATAAACGAACGACAAAAACCTCGCATTACTCATGATGACGTCAATCAGCTTTGCACTCTTCCCACGACGAAATTAAATCTGAGCGAAATTAAATCTATCGGACCATAGTCTTGAGCGAACCGAAATGCCCAAACACAAAATTTCTAACCGGAACAAATAATGAAATATACAGGGTGACCTGCACTATCATGACAAGGAATTTCGAATTTTTTAATGAAATTTGGCGCGAAGTAAAACCACTCGTTACAGTTACAAAAATTTCTTATAGAATCGTTGAGGAACATTGCAATAATTAATAAGCATTTTATAATTTGGAACCTGCGGCCAGGCCTGACAGTACAAGAGTCTATAGCCCTATGTAATTCACAGGACCCAGCTCGCTAGTCGGAATTCCTAGAAATATTGCAGATGATTATAATAACAATAATAGTTTATTTCCAACAGCGTATAGCCTTTTACAATAAATCGTAAATAGTTACATTTTAAAATTAAGTCTATGTTGGAGCTGCCGGCGTAGAGCAGAGTCTTATCGAGTTTTCTTACGATGTACAGACAGACAGATCGGCAAACCTCCATCATCGAAATTTTGTTTGATTCGGGTTCCTGTCGTTTCAAAACATGTATTTCCGTCAAAAAAGTGGGCGGTCATTTTTTACCCCAATGCAATACCTCCCTTATACTAACGTGCGGGTTACCTTTAGATCTATAACGAATTTCTGACGAATTTCGGAAATCATTGAAGGGTGATTCGGAACTTATTGAATTTTGTTTTTCATTCAGCAGGGTTTAACAGAGAGCTAATATACAGTTACAAAATGTCCATTCCCAAACCTAGATTCGAACCAGGGACATGATTGGTCGTAATCGAGCGTCTAATTCTCTAGTCAAGCTCGATGGTGGACTAAGTGCATTCTCCCTACAGAATCTTTGTGTGAAGGTGAATTTATTTTTTAAAAAAATATTGTATTAAAGCGCAATATTTGTATCTTATCGGAAAAATTAACACTAAATCAACGCAAAATGATTGTACGTCAAAATTCTTCCGATATTGATTTGATATTGAATTGCTAAAATCTGCATTGGTTTGATCTCACCGGTAGCAGCGAACCTTAATGCTTCGGTGGTTCCGTTTTGACCGAGACAAAAACGCAAAGTACATAAAAATGCTGGTTTTCTATTGGTTTAAATGGAGCGCTGCCGCCAAATTTGCGTTGGGTCGGTTTCAGTTTCTCCACGCGGAAATATAAATAGCGAATCATAAAGGCAAAGGGGAGAGGAGTAGCAACTGCTGCGCTGACCTTATCCTAGGGTAATTATCCACAATGCGGGAATCTCTGCATCTCTATCTAATACGAACTAAGAGGTATCGTAAATTTATTTTTGTATTTGTTGTCAATTAAAGTAAACCGTAAACCATTACGGTGATTTCAAGTAGAAAATTAAGTTTTATGTATACCTACTTTACCAAAACTTAACTGGGGAAGGTTCGTTGCATTTTTGAATCAATTAGATTACTTAGTTATTGTCATACCAAAAATTAAACCTAATTGGGTCAAGTTAATATAGCATTAAAGTTAGGTTAGATATAAAAGATACCTAGGGACATATTGTCTTCTTTTCTCTGCTCGTTGTTGAATCCATATAGGATTCCTCGCAAATTAAATTATTTAAGGGGGTTAGAATTTTGGTATGTGGAAGTTTCAACCATCTAATAGAAATCTCGGGTTTTTCATAATTAACAGAAATATAGGGGATTTACGAAAATGCAACCGGTTAAACCGGGTTGGTCTATTTTGTTTTGTTACAATTAATGCCACTATTGTTTTATGTTGATTACTACCAATCCGGTTAAAACGGTTGAATTATCGTAAATCCCCAACACTAATTATTATAGAATAAATTAAACTAATATGGAAATGCCAACGTTGCTGTTTTGTTTTGTTAATTCAAATACGCCATTTCCACATTCATTTGTTTTTCAAAGCATACTCTTTTCTTGGTGATATTGGAGTGTTATACTTTTAAACAATAATTAACTGTATCCTCCCATGTGAAACTTTTCTTCATTAGAAAACATAATTTATAGATAATGTAAGTTGATTCATTTTATTCAACTGAAACCCTTCTGTAAGAGGAATTTTAGTAGTAATCCGCAATTTTCATAAAGTCGTCATTGAATTCAGAATAAAAACAGCTTTAAGAATATATCCGAATATCAGGGCCGTATTTTTAAAAAATGAAGATGATGGTTTCGCAAAGACGAAACGTCAGCCTATAAAATTAACGACGCCACCTTAAAGAACATTAAAAGCTACTGTGGACCAAGTGCCATTGGTATTGATCTAGGTCAAATATTATCACCACAAAAATAGTTCGTAAAATCTTTTTTTTAAATACTTCAAAAAACAAAAAATTTCTAGACTACATATCTTCATAGAACTTTGATTTCTCAACTTTTCTCCCATTTAACCAAATTTGAATTTCTTATCGTTTCTAGAATGCCAATAGTAGCCCAAATTATTTTGGACACAGTGTATATCGTAATGATTAACGTCTGTAGGTGAACAAATTTATCCCTCTCGACAAATGGTCTCATATGACAGTACCATAATGCAAAAATGATCTGAGATTTGTCAATTGCATTTTCAACAATAAATCAATTAAAACAGTTGTTTGCCCTTTAAACCAAAAATAGCGGAACAGTACTTTTGCAAAAGGCAATATCCTTCATCTAATTTTCGACATGGACTATTGCCATGTAATAATTCATACAGCAGCGGGTTAATTTAACAATGTTCAAATATTTGAAGAAATTTGTCTTTTCCTTCTGATCTCGTTTTAAAATGCATGTATGTTGTACGTTCAATATTTGCAATAAGTTTTGCTTGGTTACTAGGTACGTGTGCTGCACGGGTTTATTTAAAAATTGCGCAGGTGCAATTGGATCATAACTCGTACCTACTGGTACTTGTATTGCAAAAAATGTAGTGCACTTATACTTATCTATCTTATTCGTAATGTGCGAATTCGAAGTTCGAACTTGATGATTTAGTTTTTACATTTTTCAAGCGCATATATTTTTTCTTCTTTGTTGGCCTAACGCTTCTGGCCTTTTTCATTTAGAAGAGGACCTGGCGCAATGAATTCTTGTCAATTTAGTTTTATAGTACTATTATATCACCCTTTCGAAAATTACGTATATGTTAAACCTCAATTAAGATAGTGTCGAATAGTTCATAATTCGAAGAACGGGAAAACTGCTTCGTATAGAAGGCGTCCCTAACCTCAATGTATTTTTCACCCAGTATAACTGTTATATTTTTTTAATTGTATGATCTATATGTGGTTCTGATTTAGTGTACATGAAAGATCCGAGCAGATTTCGCAGATATATTTGCATTGCGCCGCTCTTTTGTGCTATAACTACGAGCCCCTATCTTTCAATGCGTGCACAGACGAACGGACTGAAAAACTAGAGCGAAAGAGCTCCCCCCATGATGATTTGATTGGGTTTCAAATGGTAAAAAATTGTTTATAGCCACAGTGAAACCGGTTAAATATCGACGATTTACTATACGAAATTTAGAATTAAATTGATCGTTTAATCTATCACATGGCTTGTTCTACATTTTTACTTATTCTACAATCATCTGCTTTTTTCGAAAGTGTAAAAAAATATACCTATGAGAATGCATAGAAATCTCCTGTTTTTTGGTTTAGAGTAGAGTAAGCGAAAAGATGAAACTTTATAATACATAATCAATATTTGATTGTATAATTATCATGCTCTTTTCTTTTCAGGGAACAATGCATTGGGGCAGATGGAGCTAGTAGTGTGTCACATACTGCTCATTGTATTACTCCTGGATCAAAGCGGTGCCACAATTACGATAAAAAATGCAGAAGTTGTTACGATCACCCGCCTAAACAATGGAGATGCGTTTGCTGCTAATGGTATAGTTTACTTTCTTTTTATTTTAATAAAGTTAAGAGTTAGGCAAGGCCAATTCAATCGATTACTTTCAATTAAGTTTTTGCACTTTCATGTGTATTTATGTACGGCATAAAAATTCTTCGATGGCTGAGAGATTTTGTAGTGTTAATTCCCTAAATTGTGGCATTCACTTAAGATAAATTTGCAAGATATGTTGCAATAAAATGTGTTACATAATCTCTCCGGACAGAACGCAAAACACCTTTAGGTATTTTACAGTTACAGTTCAGTATGGACCTAATTATAATAAATTTTAACTTAAGACGAAGAAGTTGTAGGTAATCGTTTAATACTGCACTTTGTGCTATGCAAATTTGGGTTTTAAACCAGGGTGGCCTTGTTTGTTGAAATCTAAAAACATGAACAAAAATTGTGCAAATAGCAACGTAATGCCAAGAAATTCTCTTGAACTACTGGGGAAAAGTGCCAAGTTTCCAAGATTAAATATCGGAAACGCTCGGAAAATTTATGATTGTTTGCCCTGCTGTAAAAAGAGAGATGGCCTTTTTAAGTTCTAAAAAGGTATTTCATAATTCCTGCTTTATGCGACTCCAATCTCAACGAAAATTGATATTTGGGGATATATGGGTCAAAAAGTCCCGGGACTAACCTATAGATGGCACCAAAAGAGCTTCTGCCGAGTGGAGAGCAGAGGGCGAAAACCGTCCAAAGCGTCCAAAATCCCAACAATCGACTGGTAAAGTTATGTATTTTGGGATACGCATATAATATTGTTCATCGACAATCTGAAGAAAGGCCAGACGATTAACAGTGACTATTATATAGCCTTACTCGACCGATTGAGTGATCAAGCGCAAACGACCTCATATGGCAAAGAAAAATACATCGTTTCATGAAGACAATGCACCAATCCACAAGTCGGTAAAAACTATGGCAAAAATCAACGATTTACCATTTACGCTTGGAATTGTTGTCGCACCCACCCTATTCTCCAGATCTGGCACCCAGCGATTAATGACTCTTTGCTGATGTGAAAAAGATGCTCCAGTGAAAGAGATTTTGCTCGAATGAAGAGGTTATTGCTGAAACTAACGCCTATTTTGAGTCAAACGATAAATCGTTCTACAAGAAAGGCAGAGAAATTTTAGAGAAGCGTTGCAGTAATTGTGTCACTGTAGAAGGAGAGTATACAGGGTGGTTCAAATTCGAGGGCCACCATAGGGATCTCGGGAACTGTAAGAGATAGATAGGTAGTTTAAATTTGGCAAAGTTGCGTATTATGATGCTTAACAAAATGCAGTTTTGAAACTTAACAAATTCTGACTACCTTCGGAGAAAGCCGAAATTTTGCAAAACCGTTTTCATTTTTTACAGAAGTTATTTAAAAAGATATTTCGAAATAAATGATACATTATTTGGCCACTTTTGTCCCTCTACAAGATACTACTTTTAAATTAAAAGTTTGACGTTTCGTCTCCAGTCAACCATCTTCAACTTTGTTTTTTCTTATGGAATAATTTTTACTTTTTGTGTCATTTGATGAAGAATTATTTTCTGATTTCAAAAATGTAAACATCACTATCTTTAATCATAAATTGCGCTATTAATTCGTAAAAACGCAAGAAACTACGTAGGTACACTATATAAGACAAAGTTTTCTAGGCAAAAAAGAAAATATTTGAATAGTTTAAAAAAAATTGTGATGTTTATATTTTTTAACTCTCTTTTGAATTTTTCTGTCACGCGACCAAAAAAGTAAAAATTACTTCCACAAGAAAAAACAAAGTTGATGATGGTCAACCGGAGACGAAACGTTGGATTTAAAATTTAAAAATAGCATCTTGTAGAGGGAAAAAAGTGGCCATAATAATGTATTATTTATTTCGAAATATCTTTTTAAATAACTTCAGTAAAAAATAAAAACGATTTTGCAAAATTTCGGTTTTTTTCGGATATCTCCGAAAGTAATCGGAATTTTTTCAGTTTCAAAACTGCATTTTGTTAAGCATGAAAATACGCAACTTTGCCAAATTATTAAGTTTAAGCGCTAGCTTAGCTTAAGTATAGCTTAAAATCCATGGGATCGATTATTGAGACAATGGTTGTCATGGATTTTAAGCTACGCTTAAGCTAAGCTAACGCTTAAATTTGTCGGTGCAAACGGCCAATAGAGTACCAACAGCTGTAACTAGAGGGTTATTTTTTTGCGTTTTATTCCATTAAAATATGGAGAAGAATAAAGGTTACATGCAGTCAAGATTTCAGTTATATTCCACCAAACAATTATTCGTAATGTCATATTCAATGTTTTATTTTGTCGATTGGAGTCAGCGAGCTTTATATCACAGTCGGCGCCCCATTGACGGGAAATGGTGTAGTTTTACTTGGAAAAAAAGAGGTACTATGATGTTTCATATCTTACGTTGCAAGTCAAAGCTTCTTTGATGAGAAATAAACAAAAATTCCACTGTGTCGGTTTTTTTGGAACGTTAGCAAACCAATGGGAAATAACTAAATACCCCCGACATTGCTGTCCATTATGAAGTAAGCGTTTTAAGTTATAGCTTAAGATAGAGGAGATGAGCGTTACCTGGAGTAGAGAGATTCGCGTTTAGTCGTCAGGACGAATAGATTCGCGTTTGAGCTGATGCGAAAAAGATCCTGGTCGTGTCGGTCAAGGCATAGAGATTAGCGTTTTGGTCAGTACAGCGTTTTGCAGAAACGGCCCAAATAGTTAAACCCAGCATTGGGGAATTATACGAGCTTCAAAGGGAAGAAAAATCGTCAGTTGACTCACTCACTCCCTTCAGTGAAAATGAGCGTGTAAAATTTGCGCGCGTTAGCTCGTAGAACAAGTGTAAAATTGTATATACAGGGTGTTACATGATCGCATGCAAAAAAAATTGGGCGATAGAGGGGATCAAGACAAGCACTTTTTCCAAATAAACCGAGAGTCCAACGTGTTTCGTTTGAAAGCCACCCCCAAAGAAGTGGTGAAATTTGGATTTCTTCTTTAATTTTTTTCTCAGCAACCATCAGAGTAACAAAGATGGGTGGCACGTCTTTGAACAGGAAACTGGACAAAATAAAAAAAAATTCCCAGGAGGTTTTTCCATCATAAATCGGCGGTTTGGTAATATGTTTTGATCTTTGATGGTGAATGGTAGCTTCTTCGAGTTGTATCACTTTGTGTGAGCTCACGTGACTGATCCCATCAATACTGTTCGGTTCTAGATCTTGTTTGCTACTCGAATTTCTCTTGAATTTTCTAAAAAAATTTAACTCGTAGATTTTTTCAAGTTCTCCAGTTGACCAATCCGTCTCAAAAACACTCTGGAAGTTTCCACGAATTCATCTCTTAAAGTTATAGAAGTTCCTTCCATTTTTCTAAAAATTTGTTCGAGATTTTCCAATTCCATAATTAAACCCCACACCTGACACCAATCTAACGTTTTTCAACGAACTGTTATAAACAGGACTTTATTAGAAAATTAGCCCCATTACAAATTCTTCTATAATGTCACCGCTCGCACACATCTGATGTACCTATGTGAACAACACACATTTCCCTAAAAATGTTAAAAGGATTCAACACGAGGAATGTTTGAATGGCGACAAATGACAATAAATTACAATGAATTTTTTAATAAACAGTTCACACATTTAGCCACGTAGAAAATTAGACAGAATAGTCCAATCACAAAATGTGCGGTTGCTCCTGAAATTGTGATCCGTATACCCAAGTACCTATAACTACCCGTACCTATACCAATTAGACCATTATATAACCTGCTATTTATATAACTTTCAATATTTGAATAGCTTTACTTGCTCTCTTTGCAATTTGCATTTATCTCGCTTTTTAATGGATTTTCGATGTCACTTGGTCAAGTAGAAACCCTCCACTTGTTCAATTATGCATCTGCTTAAAACCAGACCAATATTTTTGTACTTCAGTAAATAGTAACCTTGTTATAAACATTTATAGAAAGTAGGTAAGCACGGTTGCGATTCTCACTCGCTGAAGCTAAAACATCGATTTCAACTAAAAAATTTAATTTATTATATCAAACAGTAATTAACCTTTTAACATACTTAAAAATTACAAAATCGATAGCTTACCGAATACCAAATAGCCATATACGGAGACGGACAACAAGCGAAAGTAGAATTGGGTATATCTATAAGGGCTCTCAAGAGGGCCATAACTGTAGAACTGCAATAGTTATAAAGTAAGGAGATAAACTGTAACGCCTGTAAATAGTTGATCGGCTTGGGACAAATGTCACGCCGCTAATGTTATTTCACGGATCGTATTGTATGTTGTATCTATTAAATTTGTTAAATTATAAACATAAAATTTTAGCTTGTTAAGAGATGTCGATTTCGCGCTTTTTTTAAACCATATTTTGAGTACATTTATTTGAAAGTCACTAAGTGTTAATCAAATGTAATATTTGCGCTACTATGCGGAACTGGTCCCTGAAATCTACTTTTTTGTGCTTTTTAGGCCCGGTTGTTCAATCATGGTTTAAACTGTAGATTAGCTTAAACTGGCGTTTAAAGCTGTAAGCTTAGTTTAATGCATTGTACCACTGCGGTTTAACGTTAAACTCCGTTTAGATTAGAGGTTTAACTAAACGGTGAAAGAGGGCCGTTTAACGCTCCTAAACCGTCAAACATAACCCCAAATATTCTTGTCATTTTGGGCTGTTGGTCTCATGGTTTGTTAATCAAGATGAACTACACGGATTTTGATGAGCCAATTACTGATGATGAAGATTTTTTGGAGCTAATGCAGTTGTTTTTGGACGATGAAGAAGAACCTCTCGTTTCGAAAAATATTAGAAAGAGGCCTGATTATTTTAATATATTAAGTGAAAAGGAGTTTGTTGAAAGATTTCGTTTAACAAAAGAAGGGGCACTGGAAGTTTTGGAAAAAATAAGTGACCACATTGCGCGTAAAACGGAAAGGTGAGCATTTTGAAGTTGTGCAGGT